GAGAACATGTTTTTCCCAAAGGTTTAGTTGGTCTTGTCACGAGAGACTGTTCCGCTCCAGGGTTGGCTGTGAGACTGATGACAGTTTCCTTGTTTCGGCTATTGTTACCAATGTTCGTATGATTTGAAGGAGCAAAGTATTTTGTTCGGCCGCGTATCGCATGGAATACACGATAATATAGTATGATCATAATACCGCAGGGGACATAAAACGATCCAATGGAGGAAGTAATGATATATTCCGGATTGTATAAAACACACAAATTATTTTGGCGATGTGGTTCATTATTCAAACCACAGGCTATGGGTAATGCAATCACAAACGAGAGGATCCAAGCGAGTGCGATCGTGAGACCAACACGAAAATTATTGTCATGTCTGGAGTAGACGATTGGATTTGTTACGGCCACGTATCTGAAAAAAACAATACAACAGTGTATTGGTGAGACCAGAATGATTCAACCATATTATAATTGAGATTGTTTTTATTCTAAAATTGATCTTAATCAAATCTGCCATTTGATGGCGGTCTCATGCTTTACTGTGATTAATCAGTTTGTACAACTGAACATCAAACTGCACTCCGGAAACAGCTATTACCAAATACATAGGAAGCAGAAGTGGTTTGCTTCATCTCAAGATTTTGTTGATCTACCGCTCCAGGGTTCATGTTTAAAGCGATTTTTTAGAATAAAATATTACCTATGGTGCTTTGCGTTTGAGCCTCTAATACATAGGTATAGTTTTAAGTAATGTTTACTGGTATACACGAGATAACCAAAGGGCAAGGGTTCATAACACGTTGCAGTTAACCTCGATTGAGCGTGAATCATTAGGATGCTGGCTGATGGCATTTATTTACCAAATTGGATTTGTTTCTTTCGGCCTTCTACTGCTTTCTTTGGAACAAGACGTTACGGTTTACATGTTGTTTTGCAGTCATCCCAGTGACCCATCAATATGAAAAGATAAGCAACGAGAAGCACTCGCGCTTCACGTCCCCAAAGCAATGCTTATAATGCTCTCATTTTCAGTTAACGTTCCATATTGTAATTATGGCTAAGAAAGCACGTATTGATTTGCGCATCTACCATCGGTCTACCTATCGGAACTTGTGAGGATACCCATAGCCATAAACTTCTGAACAATAACGAAATTCGGGGATGCGTAGCACATTTAACCTTATGCGTTAGAGTAGCTTTGCCTTTTGTTAGAATTACAATCCAGATGTCGATTGGTCGATGGGTTTATTGTGGGAATTTCGGAGCTCAAATTGGATAATCCAAGGTCCTGAGGTGAACTGAACTGAACATCCTCAAGGGTTTCAGTTCTACGCACAATCCCTAATTCATTCAGGTAATCAAACACTCGGTCAGTTCAGTTCAACTAAAGACCATATATTCTCATGTTTGGGCTCCAAAATTCCCACGTTAAACCCATCGAGCATTCGACATGTTGACTGAATATTTGATCGTAGTTTTTCATACGTTTATTCCTCTGCAAACCCATTATTTAAAACGGGGTAGTAATTTAGGCTTAGTTCAACGGAAACCGCTGTTACTAGGGTAGTCTTGAACGGGCTGCAAACGATGTAGTAGAGATGAGCTCAGGTATTATTTGTACGAATTTTCGTACGCCGATAACCAATGTTCACGGTTATCATACAACTGTAGTATTTATAAAGTCGGATTTCCCAGTCTCTCTTATAGGTAGATTGATATCTAATAACTAGGGTAAAGGGAACTAATTAACCAAACCCAATAGTGAAATTCCGATGACAATGCAAATGAAGTTTATTTGTAATGAATTTTATTTTGTGAACTCAGGTGTTGAACTAGTCTGTGTGGTGCTCAAACGAAAAGATCTTTGATAAACTTGTCTTAACATAAACAGAATAAAGCTACATTAACCGTGGACTTATGCGCTTGCAAGCCCATCCCATGAATTTGTGTTCACCACTCTATAACGTTTAACGTAAAAATCACACGCACAGTTTCCATCCTTATACATGCTATTCTATTGATTTATGTGGTTAAGAAAATAACATATGTGCATAGCTTTTATCTATTCGAGAAAGGTGCAATTCCTGCCAAACCTATTGGCTATGAAGGGAAACAAGGTTTACACATCCCAATAGTAAATTGTTGGTATCCTTGGCTTAGGGATCCGATCTAAATTTCCTTTAATCAATTGCAAGCTTTATTTAGTTATCTATTGACGAGCAGCTTTCCTGATTACTTGCATGCTCGGTAGATATCTTGGCCAGTGACGGGTGATCACTTGCTCACCAATCAACCGTGATGGCCGGTTATTTTCCCCCGGTTTTGACTACCCAAGCGAACTGATCATCATCGATTTTGAAGGCTCACAGGTAAAATAAGTTTCATATTTTAACAAAATTTACAGGTGAATGTTAAATCTCATCAGGGTGCATTGAGGCTTCCAATAGTTTTACTTACCCATATATCCTTCCAGTGCAGAATAATCATCTTTGGACACACCCTCTATGTTTATTTACAATTAGCTAGGTATTTCGTACGGCATAAATGAATTCCTGTTTGAAGAAAAAACTTAAACAGAGAACTTAAACAATCCACAAGAATGTTCTGGCGAAAGCCTCAACCAGAAAAAATGAAGCTCGACATTTGTCCGTGCATATTGCTACCAGTTTCATTCTTAGGCATTTCTTGTACAGAAAAGGTAAACATTAAAGTTTCAGGAACATCTGAAAAACTCAGTAGTTTTGATGGAAGAGCATCATATTGATGAATCAATCGAAATCGGTCAATTATTCCGTGCACCTGAGAATCAAACCATTACAGCTTACAGTATATCTAAATAGAAAGCAAAATATGATTCAATAATTAAAAATGAAGTTCGTTGACACGTGACTCCATTTACAAAATAAAATGAGGAACAAAGCATTACCTCAAGGTGATCTGGCTGGGGCGTGGAACAAACAAACCTCAGGCTTGTTAACTAGTTGAAGCATTACTATATCAAAAGCTTAAGGTTTCCCCTAGTATCTTACAGGTTAAACAAAAGGCAAATTGACCAGATTGATGCCAAAAACTCACCGGTCCATACTGATGGCAGCTAAATTAAGTATAGAGGCTGTGCATAGCATCACATCAAACATGATGAACACATCACAGAAGATTGTCCCGTATCGCCAGTTTCCATTGTTGGCCTATTTTCAAATTGAAAAATATATCCATGTATATATGGTCAAATCAAATGAGACTATGCTATTTAAACTGGGATAATAACTGAATAAGGTAGTAATACAATGGTTTTAAAAATCACTTTATGAGTGCGACCTAAAAGTAGCATACTTCTCGCCTTAAAATGAACAACCGGATAACTGGTAAAGCAACCAGAGATGTAACGTTTGGAATCAAATTGTATTATGTTTTTTCAAACTATTCGGAATACAAATTTCGCAATACTCTTTTGTCTTTCGAGCACCTTAGGCTTGGAAAACATTGATTATTCAATATTTTTGAAAAAAGGGTCATGGAAACTACTCAACAGACAAATTATAAAGTTTCCGTAAATTCTGTCAGTACCCGAACTAACCGGTTTATGCTGTTCCCGAATAATTAGATCTGTTTGAGGTCAGCTGGTTGTTATCCGAAGAGTGAATCCTTCCGGGGTCACATAAAATTAAACGTGACATCTATTCAACATCTCTCCGTAGTTTTTGTTTTACATCAGTGAATAATATCTTCAGCAGTTCCATCGATTTTACACAGATTTCGGTTTGAAACAACTGGCGCGTGCTGTTCTGAGTAAAACGTCTAAATAGACTTCAGTTTTTCTTGTCATTTCCATTATTAAAGTCATTCAAATGCATTCAAATGTTAGACGGAAAATGAAGTTGATTCTCAAGTTTTCCAAGACTAAAGCAGGGAATGTGCTGTTTTGAATTTTTTCCATGTATTTTCTTACTGAATTCCAGAGTTTCGGAGGGACAAACCAGTGTAGTCATCGCCCGGGTAAATAATCACATTTTTGCAATATGTGATCACACGTGATTTTGGTTTAGTAGTTAAAATTATTGATCACAAGACAAGAAATAAGTCACATAATGATGACGATGATACACGGCCGGTATATGGACATCAGCAACCGACCAATCGGTACATAATGCACACAGCTGATGAACCATTAACTCAGGATACGGAACCGTATGAAAGTCTAGGTTAAATACGCAAATGGAAAATTTTGGGGCATAAGTCACACTAACACAACCCTTTAGAATATCCTTAGCCTTATTTTGTCTTCAAACAGCTAAATGTTAATGCACCTAGTCAATTCCTTTTTAACTTAGGATCTCATCACTTATGAAAAGTATGGCTGGATTATTTGGGTCTTCCGATGTACATCATAAATACTGGTCAATCCAATTCTAACATGTCATCTAACCTCGACTATCAAATTAGCAGTTGGATAAAAAAAGGCCAGCAGATTTCCCTTCAGCAATAACATAAATGAAACTACTTGATCGTTTTTCGATTTTAGTGTATTGGAACAAACCATGGTTTCTCACATCACAGGAAAGTCACCTTGATTCTACAACTTGCTTATTCGTTCATTGTCCAAATGCAATTCAAATTAATATTTATCCACTGTGGGAGATCATAGTGCACGGGATATTTTTACTTTTTTTATATTACCTGTAGCTGGTTTCCCCCATGAAAGACAGAGACCATTTCATATTAAGGTTGAATATAGATCTGATCTAGTGAAAATATCGGCGTTTCATAATGAAGTGCGAGAATTTGCGATACGATTCGTGAAAGAGGGACACGACTCAACAATAATTAGAAAACAATTGTTCAACAGACAATTAGGTATTTCCATTGCAAGTAGACCAAAAACGTTTTAATACACGCTCTGCAAATACTCATCTGTGCTTCATTACATATTGCACCAGCTCGGCGTCTGGGTTACTACGCGTTAGACAGTTAGTTTTACGTCCACTTTGCTAGTGAAGCCTCAATTTACTTGACGACTTACCTCAACCCATCCGCTCAAAGGCATCACAAATATTGCGAGGCCGATATCCGCGCCAGCCAAACTGACAATAAAGTAATTTGTTGCGGTGTGCAAGTTTGTCTCTCGAAACACACTCAATACAACCAAAACGTTTCCAAAAACTGTGATTATGGGGAAGACCGTGAGGACCAGGGCCCAGTATTGATATGTACCCGATTGCGCGAGAGACTCGTCTATGGTTCGGGCAGCTTGAGACCGAAGTGTTTCGTGGTACAGTCGATCGGCCTCGGAGGCACTGATCGGATGCGATGAGCCCTTGATAAAAAAATCCGGTGAAGCGGGCCATTTGGAAACACTAATCCGTTCCACCTGCATCACGAATCTTCTCTACCTTCGTCCATAAATTGATGTATATCCGGGATAACGTGTGTCTGCAACAAAAACGTTTACGGTTCGAATTAGATTGGTGACGTGCATGAATCAGCAGGAAATACTAACTTCAAAAAATTTCCAATAGAAAAGAGAATGCAAAATCAATTCACATCATGAAATCCCTCAATGTTGTTGCTGAACAGTCATCAGGCTTGCTAGCAACTGAAAGTGAAGTTCAAGGAAGCTTGATGCCGTAATACGTTTGCGTAGTCTGGCTTACACACTTCTGCCAAGAACAATTTCTGCTTGGAGAACAAACCAAAATGGGCAAGCCGAGCTATAATTATTGCACATAATATCCAACACTAGATCAAGGTTTTGCTCTTTGTGAAGCAAATTACTTATGTATGGCCATCAAACCATGTCATACTTGAACAATGGAGCCCTTGAGTTAAAGTTACCGGTAGTACCACAATGGCAACCACTTTCAGCGGGTGTGCTGTTTGCGGTTAGGCAGCTCTTCAACACTAGCAGACACACGAAACGTGCATTCCTCATAGTGTAGAACATTTCTCACCGCCGAGTATTTATTTAAACATTCTGACACATTTAAATTCTTGCAAAGTAGTGAAGCATTTGAATTCGACCACAACGTTTTGCGTAGTCATAAATCTGACCCAGCCCACTTCGAACTGATCAACGTGTAGCATACGTAGCATTTTCCATTAATAATTTGAAAGAGGCACCCAATGTGAATGCGTTTTGTATGGGAAAGCCAAAAATCAAAATTGGGAAATTAAAAATTTACTTCTGCATGTTTTTTTCAATATTTATTGACCTCAAGATCAATCAAAAATGAGGAGATAATAAAATGGTATACAGGTTCCAGAATAATCAAAACTTTGCTGTTTGTTTCAAGGGTATCACTTGGTCTGGGGCGATTTCACATTGTTTATTTTCTCGTACGTTTTGCAAGCGATATCTGGCAACTTGCACAGTCACACTCACTCATGATGTCATCGAGGTTAAGTCAATGTGAAATATGTGGAAATATCGGAATGGCAAAGAAAAATAACTTAGTAAACTATTTCAAAAAATGCTCTAAAGTGTTTGCTGCTATGCTTCAAGCTCCGACAAAGGTAAAACATATTATCAAATATAGGTTAATTTTTCGAGTTAAAATAACAAAACACTGCTAGCTTGTTTTGCCCTAAAAAACAGCAAAAAACAAAAGCAAGAATACCATGAATCGTAACATACAGGGGAAATAGCAATCTATCTGAGACATCTCACACAAAAACGGAAACTAGGAAACGCATTTTTCTGACACTTTGTACAAATCCACATATATGCGATGTATTTCTGTAACCCATCAGTGTCTCTGATTTTCAAAATAATTCAAAAATGTGTTGTGAACGGAATAATTTGTGAAGCAGTTGTGATCAATGGCTATAAATCTAGTGGCGCCTTTGATGCAATCCACATCTTCTCATGTAACAAAGCAATGCACAGTGTCTTCATAAATTATCTCAGCCCTTGACACTTAAGAGATCCGTTAAAATTGGATTACTTTACTCCTCTCATATCCATATCACATGTGAGCATATTCTGCATTGGCGTTTTGCTTGGAATTCTCATGCAAACCGCTAATTGACATGAAAGTGTTGTGCGTTTTTATCACGTGCAGCGTTCTTATCTGCTATGACAAGGGAGCGTAAATCGCCTAATTTTTCATTAATTGGTTCGCCTGCCTACAACTTGAAGGTTATGGTTTCCATGATCATGCATCGAGCACACCCGTGGATAAACAAAAGTACAGCCATTCCTAAAACTATTTGCACAAAGGTGCATGGAAATTTTACATTTTATAATCAACCTGAGATTGAACTCCAACTTCGATTATAGAAAATCTGTAAATTTTGTAGATTATCAAAACGGAACAATCTCAAATCTGGCTGGAATCTTTCTGCACATAATGCGAACCTTGCTTATGTATATCACAATAAATTGGCAAAATTAATCCATTACGATTCAGTAGAATGGAATATATCCTTTAATTCTAATTCGGTTGAAAACCGAACAAATGACAGTTATATTACAAACGTCACCTATTTCGTATTACAGTTTTCGTTCAATGTTGTAATGTTGCATAACTCGCAAATTGCAAAACATGAGACCGTGTTTGCACACCATTTTGATATCAATAAAAGCAGATCAAAATGAACCGTTTATTTTGGAAACAACGTTTTTGAAAAAAATCTGATGAAGAATGCAAAATGAATCATGAGAAGCAAAGTTTGCGAATTTCGGAACAACCTAGACAGAACTTGAACCCAATTCATATCTGTACTTCAATCCAGGAAAGGGTAGTCATAAATGTTTAAACCAAAACGACTTGTAATAAGTCGGTGAGTTGAAAACAAGTGCATAAATCTGCTTAAAGTGTTTCTCAAAGTCCTTTTATTTTTGAAAGGATTGAACATTTGAGAATAGCAAACAAGAGTATAAAAAAATAATCAGCAATTAATAATGCTAGAGAGTCTTCCAAACTTTACATATTTGTTTCATAATATAAAGTCATATTTCAACATGTATGTGTTCACTGTTAGCGATATATGAGGAATTTGAAAAAAATCTAGACTCAATTGTATCGAATTCAAATTATGATAACGGTTTTCAAAACACTCGCGTTTCATCATACAATAATGTCTATTAAAAACTTTTCGCGACTCACTTGATCAAATATTTGCTTGACGCTAATTCCGAAGTTTCACTGCACAAAGCTGCATGATATAGTTGTGAAACACAGTGACTATGTGATCCAAAATATGAGACGCTGGCTAATGTCACAGACAACAGTTGCTCATACCCCTCCATCCCGCCAGGATCGGTTTTATTGCCCGACATTCATCTGAAAGCGACGCGATTGGTCGTAAAAATTTCAATCGAGACATTATTTGACCAATCAGGATTCACAACAGACGAATCTTCCTAAAGTACTCACAAAAGAGTAAAAACATATTATATACAAAACCACTCTACATATTAGTACTATGGTTTTCAAAAGTCACTCCGTTTTTGACCTAGGGTATACTGATTACAAAATGGAACACTTATACGCAAACACGATAATTTTCTTCGGAAAAGGTAACAACGTTGTATCGTCAAAGTTTTGATCAACTAACTCCTAAGTATACTGAAGGCACTGAACCAAAAACCGATCGCTATCGCCTGTATCCACATGTGTTATTTGAACGGTTGTAACTGAAGGTTGAAGCTAAAAGAATGTCA